CACCCAATTTATTTCCTTATTGAGGGCCAGTTTGGTGTAGTGGTTAAGGCCCCAGGCTAGAAACCTGGAGACTGTGAGTTCTAGTTCTGTCTTAGGCACAAAGCCAACTGGGTGACCTTGGGCCAGTCACTCTCTCTCAGCCCTAGGAAGAAGGCAAGGGCAAACCTCTTCTGAAATCTTGCCAAGAAAACTGTAGAGACCAGTCCAGGCAGTTGCCAGGGTCAGTACTGACTCAAAGGCAATATACAAACATACATACATACAACCAAATTTAGAGAACCATGGCCAGTCAGAATGGACAATACTGGGCTAAAAGGACAAATCATCTGATTTAGGTGGAAGAGTTTCCTGCGTCTTCATGCCTTCACACGACACAGATACCTACGTGGAAATCCATACTGCTTCAACAGCTTCTTCTTTGAGAGGACCTTCATGGCCTGCAGGCAAAAGAGAAAAGATAATGTTATAAAAGCGATGGGAGTTCCTGTAGGAGGAGAAATTTGTTTGGTGCTCATTTTAATACAAGACCAGCAAATGTAGACAGCTGATAGAAGTTGGTCATTCAACATCTGTGGGAGTCTCTGCTCCCTGCCAGGATATGTAAAATAATGGCATGCTATCATTTCAATTGGGAGTCAGCTTTTTATTTTATTATTGGAACTGGGGTGCTTAAGGAAGCAAGTAGGAAAATAACATCTTGCCTGATAATGTATCTTATTCCCATATTATAATTAGTGAATCGAAACTTAGCACTGCTGACTTGGAGCCATTTAAAGGTCCATTTGTGTTAGTGAGAGGATGACATTCCTGTCATTCCAGATGACTATCACAGTTGGAGATTTAAGTTACGGCACATAATCAATCAATCAATCAATCAATCAATCAATCAATCAATCAGTTGAGTTGAAATGTAGGTTGCATCATAGATGAGACACAAACCCAGGCTGCTGTCTGTAATTTCATGATTATGGAATCTTGTCATTAACAGACTGGAACTGGTGCTGAAGATGATTCTGAGAATAGCAATCAGAAGACATTAAAGGATCTGGCAAAAATATTAGAACAGTGGAACAGGCTAGTGTATCTCCTCAGTTTTGGGTGTCCAGACTGAGAAAGTATAGCAGAATTTGGAATTACAGAGTAGGTGGTACCATAGAATTGGGTCATCACAATCAGAGAACATTAAGCAAGGGGCCTTTGGCATCTGTATTCTAGGCTGAAGGCCCCTCCCCATGATGCAAAATAAGCAAGGAAAAACCTGTCAATCAATAGTCACTTCTTTACCCCTAAGAATCACCATCAGGTGACAACGCATGGAAGAAAGATCACTTCCTCTTCATCCCCCATCCCTAGCTTTTACACTAACCATATTTTAGAACAGTGTTTCTCAACCTTGGCAACTTTAAACTGTGTGGACTTCAACTCCCAGAATTCCCCAG